CCCCTCCTGGAAGCGACCTGCATCACCGTCCGAGTCCAGAAGCGTTTCAAATCCCATGAGTTCCACCAACAAATTGTCCAGTCCGACCTCCTGTCCAATAAAGATTTCAACTCGATCTCCGTGCCGTGAGGGGGCTCCGGAAAAGACGCTTAAGGATTGTGCCGTGTCTTGAATCCAATGGAGCTAGAGGGTCCGTCCGCAAGCCTCACTCTGCTGCACGACTTATTTCATAAGGAAAATTGAGAATATATTTTGCTTTGGCCAAGGACGTTTCTAGTCGGTTCTCTCTTTGTTCCGTTAGATGTAATCCCTTACTGAGTCTATCCTTTCTCCCGGGAAAGCGGCCGCTTTCTCCTCTCGGTCAGTCCACACAAAGGACACACCATCTGCTCCATTTACGCGCCACCCCTATTCTTTCGGGTCTGAAACTAGCTATGGGCTGGTAAGGGTTACTCGGAGGTGGGTGGCACATCCCTAAATATGCCATCTCCGGTGTATTTATGCGGGATTACAGAAATATGAAGCTCCGAGTCAGGCGTCTCGAATCCCCTCGGAGACCAGAAACCAGAGGCCCCGCGGTGTGGGCGCGCAGGGCGCGGGCGGCTTTGGAGGGTTGCTTGAGCCGAAGGTATGGATTATTCTTCTCTTTGGACACAACTAAAAATGAGAGACCAGCATTCGCTCTACCGAAAGGGAAAATCAATGCGAGAAAACCATTTCAACTTTAGCTGACGGAGTGGCTGGCGCGAGTGCCACAAGAGACACTCTCGACGGACCGTGCGTTCAAGTCTCAAGTGTATCGAGCACCGAGCAGCGCGGGCCAGCTCAGCCGGGCCGCGTGGCGACACACGGTAACGGCCGCTTCTGGAGTTGCTACTTTATTCACCGGGCAACAGAAACGGGTGCAAGATAAATTAGCAGCAGGGCAAGGATGGAGAGCGGCGGATGTATGGCGAGCGGAATCATATTGTATTATAATCGATCGCAGCAGGAGCTCCTTGTACATTTCACCGGCCATCAATAACTTGCCGTGCAACAAAGATCGCGAAACGTCAAACACAGCTCGGCCCACCAGTGCATCCAGATTGACTTTAATGTTGTTTGCTTCGATATTGTTAAATACACCCTTAGACAAAAATTTAACAACGCGCGCATCGCCCCAAAAAGAGAATCGGACGAGACGAACACGACACGATGCAGTGTCGTTATTGAGTTCGGGAGATGTCCTCTACGGGGACCTCATCCTCGTCCCCGAGGATGTCGCGCAGCCTAGACTGCACCTGAGCAGGCGGCATGATGGATGACCGCCTGCAGCTCCGTCGCCCGGAGTAGGATTTTTTTCCCATTTTATTTTGCCTTCTTGCATGTGTCAGCGTCAGCCCCGGCCTGATTGATGTGTTGGACGGCGTCCCCCCCTGCTCCCCTCCCATGCATTTAGCAGGGGGACACTGGCGTGGTGGCGAGTGACTTTGGGCGTGAACTGCACAGGCACGCACGCACGCACACACGAACGCACACGGGTTTGGATGACATTGGCGCACTGCCAGGAGGGAGCGACGAGGAGCGACCCTACTCCGGAGACAAGAGAAGCGGCGGGAGACAGAGAGAGACGGCGAATTGGAGAAACGCAGAGAAATCATCCATCACCGGGCCATGCATCCGCCACGCCTCAACATCGTCGTTAGACGGCCATCGCGTCGCGCAAATGGCGCAATCAACCTCGTCAAAGAGACGCTGATGAGTCTCTTAATGTTTGGGCGCCGCTCGGCGAACAGCTCGGCCCCGCCCCGCCGATTTAACGCACCCCCCCGCCCGTAAAGCGGGTGTATCAGATAGCGGGGCCGCACTGCAGCGCACCGCGCGCCGAAGCGGAGTCGTCTGGCAGAAGGAGATCGAGTCCGCCCTTATGTATCGAGCAGCTCGTCATCGAGTCAAAACGATACTCTCGCCGACACAGACACACACACACATATATACATTCATAAATGAAAATATTGCCAAAATTATACCTCTCCGAGACCAATCAGCATACGGAGAACAAAAGCATCGGGTCGCCTCACACCTGGACCACTTGTCGAGCCGCGCGCGGCCCGCCCCATGCTCTAAACAGTCCGCTTGGCGCAAGGGCCCTCTACTGCCGCGGCCAACTGCCGGTCCAACCCCCTGCCCGCCGATACTCGAAAGGTTACAGTTTTCGCGCCAAAGACTCCCCCCTCCCTTTCCGCCTCGCAACAGGTCGCGGTGGGGACAAGCGCCTCACGTGTGTAATTACACGCAGCATCGTGTACCATTAGCGGGTAATGCGGCGGTGTTGT